CAACGAATTAAGCTGGAACCAATGCAGGGCGGTCCTCATGACCAGCATTGCTTTTAGTGATAGCTTCAAATTTTCAAAAGGGTGACGGGATGGCTCCTGTTTAGATTGGAGTCTTCGGACGCAGTTCGTCTTGGGTACATTTTGCCAGCTCCTTCAGCATGACCGCTTTTACCTTTTGTGAAGCTAATATAGCCATGAATGAAGCTCTGACCATCCCGAGGGTTTACTAGAGACCACAGTTCTCGTTACTGTCTAGGGGAGGAGCACACATATTTTTGATCCTGATTATGGCTCGAACGTTAACAAAATACAGCAAATCTATTGCCGTCATCAGGCCTCTACAAGCACACTTGGGAAGAAGAACTCTCTCACCAACGAGAGCTAGGCTTGCCATCGTTTGACTGGGCTCCAATTACCCCAGTGTCCAAGAACTTGCACATCTGGCTAACCCTTGGCCCTTTGCCCTTTTCTTCACGTTCATCACCGACTTCATATTCTCCATTGAGTGGGGTCTATGGACTAGGGGGTGGGACTAGTTCAGATAACACGATTCGGCTTGACCCATTCAGGCTGTAAAGAAGGCTGGTCCGCCAAAACTTTAGCCGATAAAGGTACATAGCAACCTCATCGAACAGTTTAAAATTTACATCAACATATCCTTCAACTGTTTATGACAACTGCTGTTTAACGAATTCCCGTTCCGAATGTTATCACAAGAATGCTGAGTTATGGGCAAAAGTCGTGCCCCAGGCGGGAGTCGAACCCGCACCTCACGCTTTCCGGGCCGAGCCGTCGAGCTGAGAGGGTAATAAGGGCCCTGGTGGCGTGGCGCCGGTTCGACTCCCGCCCCATTTTGCCCATAACTTAGCATTCCTGTGATACTCTTTGTTCCACTCGTTAGCGCGGTTCGCTTTTGGAGTGACGCAAGCTCTCTCGATTTCATGTCTGGACGGAATAGACTTCTTCGGCGTGTCTAACACTGTTTGAGGCGTTTTCTAGTCCTTTTCTGAACCTTTTTACCCCCTCTGTAGTGACGCTTTCTCAGCCAACGATGGCACACATAGTCAACTTCTGAAGGGAATAAAGAACAGAGCTGCCCGTAATTCGAAAATTGTACCGTATGTAAACTGTGTATGAATCAACTATGTATGAACTATAAGACAAACCTCAATAGGCTTTTCGATCTCCTTGGTGGACGGCACAGCACGGAACTGGTAGAGAATCTCCCTAGTGTGATTTCCAAGGCAAGCAACATCATCCTGATTACAAGACTTCAGACATGAATAGCCGTCCTGCACGGTACTAAATAGTCATTTACAGTGGTCCTGCAATTACTTCGGCTATTTTACCGCTTCAGAAACAGCTTTTAAACTACCTGGAAGCCGCTAGGCACTGAATCCTAAACAGTATCTGGTCTGGTTGGAGGGAGTTGGGGGATGGCTCAATGGAAGTGACTCTTCCTTGCTGGCTCCTTCCTACACTAAGCAGTCGACCGCTTCTCTGCCGAGAACACTCTAACTGACCAACAAGTCAGATAAACTTTTTTGCAGCGTGGAAGCACACCTCAAGGGTTTTCTCTCTCCAAAACCACCTAGAGCTACACGCTAATTGTGCCTCACTGTGCGTTCATACTTTGCGATATGGTTCTCCTGACATGGTATAGCGATGAGTGGAGCGGGCGCTAGCGTTATTAAGACCCAGTTTCGTCATTTATTATGACCCCATCCCCATCCCACCTGCCATCGCTTGAGTTTTCTTAGCTTTCTGCCTTTTTTTTTCCAGTTTTTCAAAAACCCTTCTAGTTTTTTCTTGGAAGACGTGGCGTCAATGAGGTGGGGGAAGGAGAAGGAGGCACGGGGCTCCCTTAATAAACACCAATCTCAACTATCAGAAATAGTAGTTGTATCTCTATCATCTGTGTGGGGTCAAATCAAGGGCTGCACAGCACACGAGGGAAAAATCACGAAAAGTCAACAAATGTGGAGAGAAAAGCTTGTATGAGAGCCAGATATGAGCCTTATCAGCCAGAAACGTCCTCTTATCCTGCCGATGGAGCCGAATCCCGGTCCTGATGGGATTTCCCAACGATGCTGTACCCTGCGCTCCATCCGCGCGCAGCAAACAATCCGCGCTAACCGTACGTGATCAGAGCGGTCAAGTCGCCCTCGCGATCAGAGCGAGCAGGTTTTCATTGCGCGATTAGAGCGACCACATCGCAAGGTATGGACGCACTTCTGCTCAATGACAGGATTTTCCTCTATGCTGTCTCAGAAGAATGGCTGCGCACTAGATGGAGGGGAGAGGACTTATAGTCGTCAACCGGGCAGTTGTTTAGGCGGTCAAAGGGTCGCAGACGCGGCTGCGGCGCGTCACGACCGCGGCGATCAGCTGTTTCCAGCCTATTTAGCCATTTTCTCCTTAATTTCGCTGTATTATTAATTTTTTTCCCAAGTAAGTTGTTTTTGTCTTTATGAAGTATATTAGGATGTGGATTCTTTTTTGCTTTTGTAATAAAGAGTTTTTGCAATTTTTTTTAGTATTTCTTTGTTTAATTATTTGATTGTCCGCGAAAATTAGAGGAATTTCAATCATAATTCATCTTGTGAAGAGAAGGAACAACACCTTATGAAAAGCAGCCAAAAACAGTGAAAATTAGAGAGAAAATGGCTAAATAGGCTGGAAAGCAGCTGATCGCCGCGGTCGTGACGCGCCGCAGCCGCGTCTGCGACCCTTTGACGACCTAATCAACGGCCCGGATGGCGACTTTAGCCGTTTTTTGTACCCTCACATACCATAAACGAAGTTGTGGTTCTCAAGCCCGTCTCATCTTACATTTTCGCACTGGGTCCTAACATTGATCGATTAGCATCCTCCCTTCATTCAGTAACACATATATTTGGCCTTTGTTTATCAACAGCAAACTCAACTGAATACAGCAGTTTTATTAATAGAACTTCACTCTAGCGGTCATTAATGAGTAACAGTTAAAATAATCACAAAGTTGGTTATCACAGATACAAGAATAAACAATAAATAACAAACTATAAAAGAATCAAACGAGATCATGCAGTAACATATAGTTAATACCATTTCATTTTGTAAGTAACACGTATCACTCTTGTACGAGGGCGATGACTTTTCTACCGAGATGAGGCGAGGGTCATAGGTTCAGAAGCAACGCTCGTTAAAAAAAGTTGATTGCGGACCATATCACGTCGCTCGGAGAGGGCGTGCCCACGACCTACAGTCGTTATCGCCGAAGTCAGTTCGGGTGTGTCAGCGTTGCGGAGTTTTGAAGAGTCGCGAGCATCTTTCCCACCACTTTCTGAACACCGGAAGCTGCAACGGTCGATGGAAATTGGGCTAGGTCGTGCAAGGACGAGGCAACGCTGCCACGCCCCGACTGACTTCGGTGATAAAGACTACATGTAATTGCAAGCGTGTTAGCGGCTACAAACCTGTAAAGTAGTATCTGTTGAGGATTCACACTGACGTGTGTATAGGAGAGCGCAGACCACACAAGAAAACTTTGACGCACCCGGTTAGCCCTAATAATTCTACAAATACACAGCTAGTGCCACGCAAGCAACTAAGTCGCGTGGTACACGCCCCTTTAGGCGCCGTGATGTGACGTCTGTTTTCCCAGTTAGAATTAAGCAGAGCAGGGCGACTTCAACTGGGCCATAGCTCCCATTTTATTATTTCTCAAAATGAATGTAAAAAATCTGAGGGATCCGCGGCTACTCATCACCCACTTGTAGGGAATAACTTTCAGAGCAAGAAAGTGGTTCATGAGCTTTGTTCAGAAATACCAAGGCAATCGCCAGCAAAGCGCCATCTAATCAGGTTCTAAGACAATTAAAGCCGGTGCTTGTGACCAAATCCGCCAGAATGTCGTTTATGAGGAGCTACGTGTACTATTAGATTCGCTATGTATTTTCCAGTAAATTGTGATTTTTTCGTGAGCCTCAGGATCAGCTCCAATTCGATGGTCTGAGGTCCGTCCAGCGTGTCCCGAACGGCGATCACTGCCGAATTACGATCCTTGCCTTTTTGTAGCAGAAAATTCTGGCGGATTGCCAGCAGGACGCCTGGTGATTCTGTAAGAGGTTAGTTCAATTAGGTATTAGTCAGTGAATAGATGTGGGTAAGAATTCCTCGACGTGTGGCACGTTACACGTTGTGGCCACGCTCAGACAAGCGAGCAGTTTTTAGCTAGTTGACGCGAGACATTGCAGCGTTACGTGGCAACTAGAAATTGTGGTAGGGAAACAAAGAACCACGGCTTTGAGAGGTGAAAAAAACATGGCGCGAACCAGAAAGATGAGCTTTTTCGGAGGGAGGGGTTTCTGGAGTGGATGAGCCGCGCATCATGCGTGGGAAGCTGGAATGTGAACTGTAACAGATGCCACAAAACGCCATGAAAACGTGAGAGCGCAGAGAAAAAGAGAAAGTTGACGCCACCAAAGGGATTAAGTACGGAATGCCCCGTAGACCCACGCTTCAGCGCATCCACGTACGGGGCTATCGTGTGGGCGGAGCCGAGAAACAGCGTCATTGGTGTGCTCTTCCTCTTCATGCCAATGACCGCCCCCACCCCCCCCCCAGCAGCCCCGAACGTCCTGGAATCCATTAGGTACTGGTGCGAATGTCGCGCCACAGCGTTTGCAAGTCTGTCTTCGCTGCTTGCCACAACTGTGTATTATTCCTATGATTGGAACGTCGTACCCGGAATAGCGCGCTTGAGATTCAGCTCGAACTGGACGATCGAATCGTTGTGGGCCGGTCCTTTGATGGTGAACAATGTGATGGTTGGGCGATGCGATGTGATGGCGATCCCTTTAGGAATCGCTATGTACTGCCAAGTAATGTGTACCGGATAACGAGATTTACATGCAGCTTCGGTTAGTCCACCGCAAATCGAACGAAGGCGATTACAGCGACTGAAATGTTAGATGAATTCGCACTGCAAGCACACATTAAAGAAAGTGGGCAGGCTGGGGTGGGTGATACTGCCGGCGTCATTGGTGGAAGGGTTGCGAGAACGCGTCTGGCCACCCCACTCGGCTCTTCCACCAATGACGTTGGCAGCATCCGCCCGCCCTCAGCCATCGTGTCCACTGTCTTTAGGTAGCATTCCACTCATAACGATTACATAGAAATGATACCGTACTTCTTATAATTGACGTCGTGAACGTAGTTCTCTGGGCATCTAATCTCATGACACTTGAACTGACCAAGAGTGTTGACGCAAATTCGATCATTGCCTTGACATTCGCCGAGAGCACACTCGTCAATATCTGAATAATAACTTAACAAGGCACGCTCCGTAACACGTCGAATACCCGAAAAAAAGGAGTGGCCAGGCTCATCCCGTAGTCGTTCCGCGTAGGGGAGGGGACTCAGGCAACGGGCTGGTTTACGATAGCGTCTTACATGTCCTAGAAATCTCCTTAGTGCATCCACAAGGGATTGGCATGGGCCCAAAAGGCGCTGGGCATAAGTGTTCATCTCCCACCAGAATTCTTGAAATTCACACTTCTTGAGGTGCAGTACGTCTCCTAAATCCTTAATGGGATTATTTGACACATATAGAAGTATATCCTTGTTATCGGCGGAACGTGTCTTTGAATGAACATGGAGCCTTCGTGGTTCTCCAGCTTTGTGAAACACGCGTCTAATCCAGATCTCCCCCCTCCTCTGGGCGCATTTCCGTCGAAATCTGTCTTTCTTATAACAATGCTACATTTACGTTGTGGACAAACACCCACCGACACATGTTCGGCCATCCGGTTGAATTTTGTACCCAGGTGGACAGGTACAGAGATATGAACCATTAGTGTTTATGCATGTTCCCATGCATAACTCGGTATCTGAAATGATAGATGTACGTTGTGAGAAGGAATTTCGCTTGAAACAGTAACAGTAGCAATACTAACTCATAAACTCGTAGAGATAATAGCTGAGAAACAATCACAAAAAGCCTTCCCATATAAGTCCAAGACTGATATCTCACGCGCATGATCGGTCTCCCCTTTGAACCACCACAGTTATTGCTGTTTGTTTATTTGTTTACATGAACCTCAGAGGAACGCTCTGTCCCAAAGAATAGCGGCTTGAATGCAGTGAACATTCGTCAGGAAGCGCTTACGGCAAGTGTTTGGCCCTGCTCGACTAAGCTCCTCACCTCAATCGCTCACCAGTCCGGGTGCTTATCCAATACGCCATCAGGACCTTTTCTTTGCCTCTCAGCTTAGAGATAAACTGTAGGCTAACTTTGAGGACGGCACTTTCCGAATGTGAGGTGGAAGCGTCCAGAGCTGCAGTGGCGTGTCACTTTCTCCACCCCGGGATGGTTTGTTGTCCGTAGGGTAGCGATACACGATTAGAAACCCGATATCGATAGAGGAAAAGAGAAGTGAGGAGGACAGATAATAGCCCCTCCGTTGTGCGCACCATTAAGGCCCGTGAGTGCTTCTGTGGCAGTGCGAACGAAGTATGGAGACGGCATTCGGCTGTTACTACCCCCAGCCCCGTTCTCGTTCACTTTTGACCGGAGAAAATGGCTCACTACCGCAGCTGCGGATCCACACACCCCATATATGGCACGGACCAGGATTCGCAGAAGTGACTGTGCTGTAGTTTTTCACCGAAAAAAGCTCAAGCCTGACATGATAGGACCCTTATCGTCTGGTAAGACAGGGTCCTTGGCGAGATGAAGTTCGCAAACTCTACGAGCAAGTCCGAGGTTTTGGGTATGTGACAAGAGAATCGTAATTCACCGTGCTGGTGGTCGTCGCGTGCGACGATGGTTCCAGGTAGCAGATGGCGACAACAGCTAATTCAAAACCGCGAATAGTCATGAATGTCTACGATGACAAGGTCTACATGAAGTCAGTCAGAAAATCACAGGTTGTCACGAGTCAAAAAAGAAAACAGCTGCGAATCACCGCGTAGCGCGCGAGAGCGCAGATTACGATTCCTGCCCGTCTCGCCGACGTTTTGAAACGATTTCATCTTCAGGATCGAAGTAACAGGACAATCCCCATCACACCCAATGGGACCCGATAATATGTCTATTGCGATTTTTTAAGCGTCTGCTCATTCTCTTCTAGTGACTATCTCTAGACAATGCATAATATCGCTTTAGCTGTTGATCTATTGCTAGCTATTAAGCTGATGTACTGTATAGTGTGTACTATGTAATTGGTTTCAATTTGTAACAAACCGCCTCCGGTTCGAAGTAGTTCACACTCGTTGATATCAATGCAGGTCGTCCAATCATCCAGCTGAAATCAAAGTCATAATGTCCGTTTCAAGTAGGCTGTTCAACTAGGGGTAAGCGGTACATTCCAACAAAGGGTGCCACACGGCGAAATTACTTTAAACTTTATTCCTACGGAGATTGGGAGAGGCGTGGCTGCGTACTTCACTTTGATATAGGAATGACCGTATGCGCCCTACTTAAAGAGACCACACAAGAACGCATCATACGCAACGTTCGGATGAAGTAGCAGCCAACGCCTATCCGTGGGTTTTTCGCGATATACGGGTGTACCATTGCAGCCTTTCCGCCTACACCGATGGACCCCTGCACGTAACAATGAGGAGGCCACAATAGTAGGACATAATATTTTTCGGATGCTGCTCACCTACTGTATACCCTCGATCGCAAATGCACTGGTATGACCCGGGAATATTGATGCATTTCTGCTCACAGTTTGCTTCTCCAGTCTCACATTCGTTGATATCTAAACGCGATAAGTGAAAGGATGATAGAATAAACTCGTGGGAGGAATAAAAGAGCGTTACTTGACGAGTATCAGTAAGAAATTCTCTGTTGTTAACCACTGATTTTTTTTGCTTCAGTACCAATGAGGATGCTAGGTTGCAACTTTTACTGACAGTATACCATTTCAAACATGATGTTTGCCGATTTTAGGGAACAGGCGGTAAATTTGTTGCATAATACAAATCTGATGTCGCTAAAAAGGTTGGGGAGCGGTGGTGGTTCAGTGTGTGATGAGCAAAGCGAGACAACACCTCAAACTTGGGTAATTAAACTTTAATACACGATTATGTAGTAACATCATCATAACGGATAAGATCTTCTTAATGTACTCGATAACCTGAGATATAAAATATGCAGAAATGAGGTGAAAACGGAAAAGATCTTCTAAAGCAACTTCATAACCTGAGATATGCATAAATGAGCAACATAACAACCATAAATGAAGTTAACAAAGTAACAGCTAACCAGGAAGGTCGTTCAGGGCGTGCCCCGCTTTTTCAAAACGGTTTATTGCACTTTGTAGGACCTTGCCCATGAACCGTAAAAGTGGGCTTCGTTTTTTGCTGTGCGGCTCCTGGAATGCCAAAAAAGGAGTGAAAGTTACGTCTATGTACCCCCATACGAGGGACGTTAAGCGCTATACTGGCGCCAAATTGCGTCGACCTCGAAAATAAGTGTCAAAATCGTAATCAGGACCATCGATTACCCTTATGGACGGACTTCCAGCCAAAAAATTTTTTTTCGATTTCTTGGGTTTTGGTGGACCATCTGGTCGGCAGTAGTGACCGGAGTATCCCATCTTCGTAAAGACGATGACGAAACGACGACGTAGCAGGCCGCCGGGCAGGACAGCAAACCTGGTGGAATGCCTCCCTTTCCTTCCTCTTTGCATGTATTTCATCGGCATTGTTACTTTTATCTTTGAATATTAATAAAATAGGGGGTCCCTTTGGCGAGGCACTGTAGACTTCTATAGAAGACTGTCGGGCACAACCCAACGCACACACCCAAAAAAGTCGAAAAAAATTTTTTGGCCGAAAGATTGTTTACAGGGGTAATCGATGGCCCCGATCATGATTTTCACACTTATGTTCGGCGCCGACGTAATTTGGCGCCTGGGTAGCGCTACACATCCCTTACTTGTGTGTAGCAAACGCATTCATTGGGAGAAACATGTCACTCCATATTAGCGATAAATGGCACCGTAGCTACAAATAAGTTCCATATTCGTGATTCGGGCATGGTCTGACCTATAAAGGTCAACTTTCAATTACGGTCTTGCTTAATGGTATGTAAAACCTGTAATAATTGAATAGCACTGATTCATGGAGTGTTCCCATTTAAAATGTGCCCATAAATGGCAGTTATCGAATGCATACTTACGCACAGACATATTTGAACGCGAAAACAGCAAAACATAAAAAATGCAAAAACTCGCACGCCGAGGGGAGTTGAACCATCAAACCCACCCCAACTGTCCGCTTGAGAATCCTTCACGCTATCCACTAGGCCATCCGATCGTGATGCTGAATGTTCCTCCCACGTTTTGAAGAAACCATTCCATGAAGCCGTTCACGCTTGATTACGTGCCACAAGTAAGACCCCATACCCCAACTACTTTTCTCTTCGATTCCGATAGCACCTTTATAGGGTCCCTCCATTCAGCAACTGGTCAAAGTTTCAAGCGGTTTACAGCTCGTAGAGGCTTCAAAAACAATGCATTTCTAATAGGTTTTTTTCGCTCCTTTTTTTGGCATTCTCAAGGAGCCGCTAAAAGAAAACGAAGCCCATCCTTTTATGGTTCATGGGCAAGGCCCTACAAAGTGCAATAAACCGTTTCGAAAAAGCGGGGCACGCCCTGAACGACCTCCCTTGTAAGCGCTCGGCATAGTCGTAAGGACAACAAGGAATAACCAAAACAACAAAAGTGAATTCCAGAGTAATATCGAGAAAGAATAGCAATACATACGCTGTAAATGAGATAGAAGAGGAGAATATTAATTGACTTCGCATTATCGCCTTAAAGGAACACGTCAGGAATCAAATGATCTGGAGAGCTTTTGGTCGCTATCGCTACTTCGCAAAGAGATCGATACTAGATTCTGAGGAGAGAAGCAGAAGAAAGCAAGAAAGTGCAAACTGAGAGCGGCTGGACTGCTCCCGCTATTTATAGCCCGTTTTGGCGCGCTCCGCGCGAGGATTTGATCCGCGCCTATTGATCTGTGATCGGAGAATCGCGGTGTTTCCGCGATACTCCGCCCCCTTTTGGACGAGTCGACATGGGCTCAGAGAGCTCTGCGCAGTTCTTCCAGACGTCTCAGATCTGATGGCGTGATCTCGTAATTTCTCGTTTTGAGCCAGAAATCAAGACTCTTCTGTAGCCGTACATAGCCGCGAGGCAGGTGTCCGGCTTTAATGGCAGTGATGGCATCTTTTGCTGTATTTCGGGCAGAAATAGCCCATATCGCATTCTATGTCTAGGCAGATGGTACAGCGTCTCCTTCTTCTCAGTGAAATCAGTCTTTCCTCCTCAGCTGACTTGCGGCAGAATCAGAATAGTGCCTGCCTTCAGCAAAGCAGAAAGCGCATCGCATCGTTGTCTCTTCTTCACGTGTGATTCCTTCTTCATATTGTCTAGGACGACATCTTCGGAGAGCGGCAAGTTCGCGTATCTTGTTGTGGACTTGCTTCAGTTCTTGCTCGAGATGATGGATCTCTTCGAATATGGACTCTTTTTCTTCGTCCGGTGGTTGTGGTTGTTCTTCTTGGACAGACTCCATAAACTCCACATTTTCTGCGATTCTCGCTTGTTCGCTTTCGCTGACTCGCCCATCACGATTGTCTTGCAAACTTCCTCGCAACTGGTCGAGTTCTTCCTTGATTTCCTTCAGGGAGTCGCAGATTCGCTTGTTCGAGACATCTTGGCGGTACCGCTCTTGGAGTAGACATTCTGCTCGAATATCCTTTATCTTCGTGAACAGCTCCTTGATCACTTCTTCTTGGTCGGTCAGGATCCGCTCGATTGCCTTTTGTGAAGTCGGCAACGGGAACTTCTTTCCAGATGTGTTCGTATACTGCTGAAGAGTGCTCATTTGTGAGTCCCATGCCTTCATATTTCCGCGATATCCGCTGTTCACAGTTGGGGAAATACATGCTGGCGCGCATCAGACCCAGCTTCCCTGGGCACGCCCAGCATCAAGAATCTGATTCTTCAAGATAATGCGTAAGATCGTGGAAAAGCTCCGTGCCAGAAGCAGACTTTTCTGTTCTGGTCTATGATTCATTAGATTTACCGGATTACCAGTAATCTTTGAGAAAAACCCGTTGCAAGAGAAACAAGGAACAAATTACTATCCAAACAAAGCTAAAAGTAGGTTGAGCTTTTGCTGGAGTCAATAATTTTTTTCTATGCGGAACCCTTCCTACTCTATTCAGAATCGTAAGTGCCGGGTGACATACATAATGATTTTTGAGGGCCAGCGAAAGTATAGATCAGGGTTTTCATCCTCGCAGACCCTGGTCCGGAACATAGAAGCCTTGGTTTGCCTGCTGGGACGGTCTGGAATCTGGACTCACAGACCGCGCGTGTTAACCGGTCCAGGTCCCGTCGTTCGCTGGGGATTTCCAGCGAAGGAGGGTCGTATCTGGTTGCCAGGCGGAGGGAGGGGGGGGGAGGGCGGTTGTGTCTGCCTTTGAGAATAATGTCTTCGATTGCTGACTTTTTCGGTTTTCCCGTCTCACGTTATACATACATATGTACCCCCTCCTCCGCCTGTAACAATTTTCCCCAAGGCACACCATCGATGCGGATTTCCCAACAGGGTGAGAGAGGGTGAGGTGTCGTATTCGCCTTCTGAGAGAAATTTGCGGCTGTGGGGAAAATTTTTTCCGTTGTCCGGTTGTTAACTGCTCGTAGTTATCCTTATATCACACGTGTTATATTACCCCACCCCACCCCCACCCCCTCTCGACAGCAAAATTTTGAGGAAAAAGTAGGAAAATTTCCGGAAACTTCCGGAAAAAGTGGTGGGGGGGGGTTGAGGAAATCTAACAAAGCGGTAGGTAGTATGGGGAAATGGAGTCATATTTTCCTCGCGGTTTTTCCGGTTTCACTTGCGCTATATATCCTACCCTCCCCTTGGGCAGCTCGGTCATATTAGGAATTAGGAAAATTAGGAAACTAGGGGAAGGAGGAGGAGTCATACGGACTCGATCAAAATCCCAACAATAGTGCACGCTGGTCCCCTCCCCCGTGTGCGCTAACCCAGCCCATTTGACTCTAGTACCACTCCGCCCTCTTCTACTACATAGATGAAAACAGACCACCACTGTAATTTACGAGATATATTTCGATTTTTTGATATATTTTTCATGCAGGAGGCAGATAGGTGGACCCCATGAGATTCCGACTTCTTCACGAGATGGTTTCCGGCCCACAAAATCTAGCTGAATCTCAATTCAATTAAATCTGACGAAAGCCCTTTGAATAACATTGTTAGCCTGAGAAAAAGGTAGTCGAGGATGTCAAGGCTTCGTGAAAAAAAAACTTGAAAAATCTGGGTTCAATTTTGGCTTCGAGATAGGAATTGGAACTTCAACGAACCTTTACATCGCCTTCCATCTTCCTCTAGTTTGTAGCCATTGTTGCACTTGCAAATGAACGATCCAATCGTATTTATACATTCCGCCGTTAGATCGCAGACATGACCAGAGAATTTTTTGCACTCGTCCACGTCTTCGCAGCGTTTTGTCTAAATCACGACGATAACGTCTTTGGGAATTGTTCGGCTTGGGACATTTTGCACGTCCTAGTTCACACAAGCATCCTTGTAAAAATTGGGCTGAGCTACGGCATGGTGCAAATGAACCACTTCGGTTACAAGAATTCACAG